ACCTCCACTGTCAGCATGCAAGACTGCACTGCCAAATCGAATACCGAACAGCCTCACTTCCTTCAAAAAATCAGCCAGGTAGACGAGGGCAGTGGCACACTCACACATTTGCACGTATTCTGCCTCGACAGAAGATAGAGTGACGATCGGCTGTGTTTTGGCACTCCACAAGACAGGGCCTCCACACAGGAAGACAAGGTGAACCCCACTGGACTTCCTATCCTCGCTATCTGCCCATGATGAATCAGAAAACGCACACAGATGCAACACACTGCCTGACTGACAGCCATTGAACTCTATCCCTTTCTCCTTTGTCGCGCTCAGGTATCGCAATACATGCCTGGCTGCTGTCCAATGGCTCGCTCCTGGGTTGTGGGCGTGCTTGGCCAGCTCCTTGACGGCGAATGCGATGTCCGGTCGGCATGTGACAGAGCAGAACATGAGGGATCCCACAAGTTGTCGATAGGGATCTTGCTCTTCTTCTTCTTCTTCTTCTTCTTGTCCTCAGTCTGCGGTGCCATATCGCTGGTCAGTCGCACACCAGATGCACATGGGAATGGTGTTGGGTTGGCTTGGTCCATGTGGTACTTGCTGATCATCTTGTCGATGTATTGTGGCTGTGTGATGGTCAGGTGTCGTCGTGGTCGGTCTCGTGTGATCTTGAGTGCCAGGAACACATCAGCCTCGCCCAAATCCTTCGTCGCGAAGACTGTCGACAGCTGCGATTTGGACCAGGTAACCCCCTCTTCGCTGCTGGCGATAGGGATATCATCGACGAACACACACAACATGATTCCCTTGTTGTCGTGCAGGTACACACAGGGCTCCTTGGGATGGCGGCGGAAGCCGAGATGCAGTAGTTGGTTGTGGAGGGTGATGTTCCACGCACGCGGGGCCTCTTTGAGTCCATAAAGGGCGTTCCGGAGGCGGACAACATATCCCGGGCGCTCGTAGCCAGGTGGGCACTCCATGAAGACTGGCTTGTCGAGCGGCGCGTTGAGAAATGCTGTGACGTCCATTTGGTGAATTTCCAGGTCGAGGTGATTGGCGATGGCCAGGACTGCTCGCACAACGTGGTAAGAGAGCGTCGGGGCGAACACATCCTCCACTTGGTTCTTCTCTTGCTCGAATCCGCGGGCGACGATGCGGGCCTTGTACTTGTCAGGCTTGAGGGCGTACACCCATCGACAGGATACCGGCCGACTGGTCGCTTGAGAGCGGGGCACGTATTCAAATACACCCAGGTCAGTGACCGATTGCATCTCCCGATCCATCGCATCTTACCAGTGACAGGCGTCGAATGCGTTCATTGCTTGCTTGTAGGTCTTGGGCACCTTGGATGCGAAGAGCTGTGGCGTTGGAAGTGGTTGACGGGTCTGTTGCGATGCCGGTGGCCTCGCTAGTGCTGCCGGTGCGTCGGTGTCGACGATCATGCTTGGCATCGTGTCGTCCACATCGTCAGCAACACACAGGCGCTCGATGACGGCGAAGATGTTGTCCTCGTACAGCCACCGAGGGATGAGGCGGTTTCGGCCTGATCTTCGGTGCTCGGCGTTGTCGTCATCTGCCCCCTCTTCCTCTCGAATGACTCGGTAGTCGTCAGCGGCACCTCCATCGGTATCAGCGGCGGCTTCTTCTCCATCTTGACCGGCCGGCGGTAGGGCTGGTGCTGCTGGCGGTCCTTCGAGCAGTGCAGAGCTGTCAGGCTCTTGATCTTGGTTGTGTTGGTCGACACGCTCATCTTCTTGATGCTCACAATGTCGGTCATCTTCGGGTTGCTGGGCACGATGGTGGTCTTGATGGTGGTCGGTCTGCTCGTCAGGTGAGACGGGCGTCTGAGGGTGCACCAAATCAATCCCTAGTGGTCCTCTTGGTTGCTTCTCCTTTGCAGGAAACACGTGCTCGTCCACTTGGACGTCTCGTGAGATGACGAATTGACGATCATCAGGTAACCACACCACATAGCCATCCTTCGTGTTGGGGTCGAAGCCGACGAGGATGCCCAACTTCGCCCGTGGCTCCAGCTTGCCCCTCTGGTCCTTTCGCTGATGCACATATGCTCTCGCGCCGAATGTGCGGATATGCTTGATGCATGGCGGGTAACCCCAGAAAAGCTCAAATGGCGTCTTCTCTGATGGATTTGTCTTGGTTGGCATTCGATTCTTGATGTAGGTGGCGGTCTTCGCAGCAAAACACCAAGAAGATGGGGGAAGGCCGGATTGGAAGAGTGCTGCACGGGTCAGCTGACACACCACACCAATCGTTCGTTCTGCCACGCCGTTTTGTGACTGATGGTGTGGTAGGCTTTGATCTTGGCGTATCTGGTGCTGCTCACAGAATGCCTTCCATGTGCCGGCGATGAGTTCGGCCCCTCCATCGGTTCTCACTGCTTTGGGCATGCGGACGGCCGTGCAGTAGTGCATAAACGCCTTCGGTGCGATGGACTTTTGCTTGAGAAAGTAGGTCTGCATATAACGGCTGTGGTCGTCCACCATGACCATCAGGTACTTGAACCCTCTCTCGCTGAGTTGCTTGATCTGCGCCAGGTCGACGTGAACTAGATCACCAGGCGACGAATGGCGGAATGCATTTCCCAGGTACGGACGAATCTTCATCTTGGCTTGGACACACACCTCGCACTTGCGCTGCTCTCCCTCATTCTTCTTGCCTTTCTTGACCACAGGTGCGTTGCGACATACCTCAGGAAGTCGGTCGACGGCTGCATCGTGGTAGTGGAGGAAGCGCTGATGGGCAAGTTTCTCACTGATGACCTCGGCCACCATTGCTCCTGTTTGCTCGCCACCTTCATCAGCAGGTGAACAGGGAAACGCGCCATCACCACCACGCGGGTCGATGATTCTTCCTGTTGCTGTGGCTGTCGTGTGCTCTGCCGCCGGTAGAGCACGTGGCTGTGAGTAGATGGGGCAGTCGTTGGCATCCCTGTAGATGTCCAGATACCAGAAACGACCACGTCTGACAAGCGGGTAGCGGTCTCCTCTCCTTGTTGCGGTCATATGGGCTGCACCGGGGCCAATAAGAAACTCGATGCAGGATTGGTCCACCAGGTGAGCGACGGAGAAGAGATTGAACTTCAGATCAGGCACATACAGCACACCATCCACACACACGGTCTTCTTGCCGTTGTTGACCTCTTTACAGGTGTACTTGATGCGGCCGACTCCTCTGGCTGGTACGGACGTGCCATCGGCCATGACGATCTTGATGTGTCGGTCAAGCGGCTTGATTTCGTCGAAGAGAAACTGCTGGTGGCAGCATGTCTTGCCGGCTCCTGAATCGATCATCATGGAGGTAGGTCTCACAGACACAGCACTGACGTTGACCACTTCTTCCTCGCACTCAACGGCCGTGACGGTCCCCACCATTTCCAGGTCGGTTGCTCTCTGCTCGCAGGTGTCGTCGGTCTGATCACACCCGTCGAGTTGATTCGTGTGGACGCGCCGATTGCGGTTGCCCATGCCGTTCGTGCGCGTCGCATTCATGATGACCTCTCCGTCCTTATCGTGACGAACGATGGGCTGCTGCTGGCGTCCATCGTTGCTGCTCGGGTACGCGCGGAAAGGCACCCCTGATGAGTTCCACTGATTGCCATTCCTTCTGTTGTTGTTGTGGTTGTTGTAGGTCTGGCTGTTGCCGTTTGGTTGGCGTCGCCATTCGTAGCGGCTGTCACGATTGTCTCGGTAAGGCCGTTCGTTGTTCCTGTTGCCTCCCTGATATGTGTCAGGTCGATTGCCGTTGTGTGGTTGACCATGTTGGCGTCCGTTCTGGTTGCCCTTCTGTCGAAAGCGGTCACGCTGCTGGCTCATCCTTCTCGCATGCTGCATGCGGTCGTTGGCATTGCGGAGGGCTTCCTCGAATTGCTCCCATGTGAGGTCGTTGAAGCGGTAGTCCAACGAGCTCTTGAAGCGCTCAAATCGAGGAGGTAGGGCATTCACCATGACGGCTATCTTGGTGTTGTCGGTTGGTTTCTCTCCCATGTCGCTCAATTGCTTCGCCAGGAAGTTGAAGTCGGTGAGAGCGTCGTCGATGTCATCCTTCTCCATCTGGTACTGGAAGAAGTTGCGGAGGACCTCGTGCCGACAGACGACTCGCTCAGGTACGCACCGCTTGCGCAACTCCCAATAGGCACGTGCACCATTCTCGCCATACTTGTCGAATGACTCCTGGATGATCCGTTTCGCCTTGCCTTCCGTGTGCAGGACGAGGAAGCCGAAGAGCTGTCGTAACACACTCCTCTCCTTCGTTCGCTGCTCGTCAAGGTCTCCATCCTCATTCGGTACAGGTAACCCAGGAATGTCTTCTTCCTTCTCAGGCATCAGACGCTCTGTGGGCATCTCCTTGGCCAGGAGGAAGGCTCTAAGGGTAACTTCCCACTCACGCCAGTCGTCCTTGCCTCCATCAAAGGCACGGATGACGGTCTTGGGGTCGAATGTAAGAATGGGCTGCGCCATTGCTGCTGCTCTTCTTGCTGCTCAGGTCGATCGGTCAGGATCGTCACACTGGCTGCTACTGAAGAGGCGCTTGACGCTGAAGATGTCTTTCGGGGCTGACAACACCGAGAGAATGCGGGCTGATAGACCGGTTTGGATCTATCAGCTGCCGACAGACAGACGATAGACAGGCTGCTGCACAGACAGACTGCCGAGAGGCGGATGATAGACAGGCCTGTTAGGATCTGCCCAACTGCCGATCAGGCGGAAAAGACAAACCAATTTGCTGCGCCCATGTCAGAATAGGTGGGAGAGTCGGTGAGAATGGTGACGAGAGGATCTGCCGGGCGGTCAGTCCCGGATAAAGGATTAAGTCAATGCAGCTTAATGTCTGTGGATTTTTGTGGAAAGTCCATACATGACATGTAGCATAGATCAGTCCATCCTGTCTGACGTCCTGTCCGCCGTGGCCTGTCTCATGGATACGGACAACATCGAAAGAATTACAACATCCGTCCTGTCTCACAGATCAGTGGATCGTCGATCTACGGTGGACCGACTTGCACTTCTGACAAGGAAAGCTGGATGGAGGAGAGCTGTCTAAATCGCCATTTTAAGAGTGCAGTTTTCACTTCTCGCTGTCTCCATCGTATCTTTTCATGTCTACATCTCGGTGCACCGTGTGTCTGTGCGTCACGGGGTATGTGTGTGTGTGTGTGTGTGTGGGTTTGTTTGTGTATGTGTGTGTGTGTGTGTGTGTGCGCGATGCTGTGTGCGTGTGTGTGCGGTGCTGTGTATGTGTGGGTGTGCGGGTGTGTGTCACGGGGCTTTCATCGTAGTGCAGATAGTGATTTTGTGCTTTTGCCAGTGCAGAGCGTTCCTCCTGCTTGTGATTTGTCACGGGTTTGGCCGGGCTGCCACTGCCTGCGTGCGCTTGAGTGGTTTGCGTGATTTGTCGAGTGCGTCGATCATTGAACGATCTGCTTTTCATCGTGTCAGCGTCTTTCGTTCGTTCGTGTGCGTGTAGACTTGGGACATCGTATGAGGCCGTAAGGCCGTCCGCCCTTCACGTGAACCGCTGCCTGCCCCATCTGCTTTTCATCCGTTCCGTTCACTGCCAGCGTCTTTCCTTTGTGTACGTATGGACCTGGGACATCGTGTGAGGCCGTGAGGCCATTCGCTCTGCGCGTGACCCGCTTCCTCCCAGATCAGACGCTCTGGTCGTGCAAAACCCTAAACCCCAAACCGTTTAACGCAATCAGCTCGAAAAGAACAACCAATTCCGCGAGCTCTCCAAGAAGCAGATCTGGTGAGAAGCCGTCTTCCCTAAGCAGGTTGCGCCACTCAGTAGATACTATAGCGCCTTTGACCTCAACAGCACCCATGCCACGAGTCACAAACCTTCAGGCCCCTGTTCAGCATCGGAAGCAGCCTGAGGCTGCTTACTCGAGGGGCTTAGGGTTCAGAGAGGCAGATGAGTTGGGAAAGGCCGTCAACCTCCTTATCAGTCGAGCAGCGAGGGTCGTCACATGCTTGGTCGACTCGCTTATCGCGCTGCTGGTCATCGTGCTTCACCTCGGTGGCGCAAGGGTCGACAGTGACAATCCAATCACATTAGGCGACCTCATCTCCCTTCCTGTGGGCCTGCTGTATGCCGTGCTTGGCATTATTGGTGAGCCTGAGTGAAGGAGGGCCGGGAGACTAGCCGGGCTAGCATCTGTACCTGTACGCACATCTGTACGCACACACACACACACACACACACACACACGCGTGTGTATATGTGGATTCAAATTCGAATACGTACACACAGGGATGTGTGTGAACTATTGCTTGTGTAACAAACAGGTGGGCCGTGGACGTGGATGTGCATGGTCAAGACTTTGTTGGAGCCTGGCGTGATAGATGGGCTGGTGTGCGTGTTTGAGACGCTGGTGCCAGCAGTGCCGTGTGATCCGCCGAATTGGTGCCGTCAATACTTTGGTGACTTCATCACGCGGCTGCTGTTTCGAGAGAGCAGCATGACGAAACCCGTCCCGGCGGAAAATGATCGGTAAGACACCGAGAGACAGACGAGACAGACGAGAGAAGACGGACAGACATTGGGGGAAGGCAGCAAGTAGCTCATCATCGCCTCTTCGTTGGACTGTCTGTCTGTGAAGTCATCCGGATGAAGCGTGGATATACGTCAACGGAGTGGGGACTGGAATGCCCATCGCTGTGGAGAATGCCAAGCGGCTCGTAGAGTTGTTTGGACGCTCTATCACTGTTGTTCACAATCCTACTGACTCCTTCATCGTGGACCTCCTGGAATGCGTCGCAGGGAAGCTCAAGCTGATGTGGTGAGAGGGAAGAGGGGAAGCGGAGGATAGGGTGGATGAAATCTTTGGACGGGTATTATTGGTTGTGTGCACTGCTGGTGTGTGCGGATGTGTTTGTAAGGTGGTGGAAGGTGGAGCCGGTAGGGGTTGTTTTGAGGACGGTGGAACAGGCATTTGACCAAGGCAAGACGAAGGTGGTCCTCATTGGGCACTCTCAGGGCACCATCATAGTCAACAACGTCCTGGATCGAATCGCACGCAAGCACATCAACTCTCCACCCGACTTGAAAGCACAGAAGAAGCTCGAAGTAAGAACAAGGCAAGGAAGGGGAGAGGGCCCGATTCTCTCACCATCATGCCGTATTCATGTGCTGTTAAGGTCTACTTGTTCGCCGACTGCGCCCATCACATCGACACTGCCTCTTTGGAGCAGCACAGTATCTGCGTCGAGAGCCTCTGCAACAGCTACGACACAGTGGCGCTGCTGGGAGGTACCTATCCCAGGCCTGAGACGTGGCGAGACGTCACGGAAGAGCAGCGCGTCGTCAACAAACGTGTGAGGGTGGTAGTGCAGGATGGGAAGGGGGGACATTTGCTGAACACGCACTATCTGGAAAACTTTGCGAACGAATACAAAGGGTCGCACTTGCACCAGTATCTGGTGAATCCGTAGAGCAGGGACTCGTCAATTTTATTGAAGGAGGGAGGGGAGGGGTGGCTCACGTTTATTTGTGTTTTATTGAAGAAGGGAGGGGAGGGGAGAATCAGATTTATTTATAGGTGTGGGGAGAGGTACCGTATTGTGCTCTCTTTTTTGTCTTGCCTTGGTACGTGGAGTTTTCTGGTAACGGTGTATTAGTGAGGGCCCTTCACTTTAGATACACAGTATGTCAGTTTTGGATATATATGTCAATCTTAGATGGAGAGTCGGCTGCTGGAGATCGTCTTCAGCATTGTTAGACATCGTAAATGCTAGAGATGTGTATGTGTGGCATCATGGCAGGTAAGAGGGAGGAGGGAGGAGGAGGTGCTGTGTGTCTATTACAGCAGGACGTACGTACGCTCCTGGCCTTTCTAGGTGCAGAGGACACTGCTGTAGTAGCTCGAATCGACTGAGAGATGGGAAGGAAAGGAGGGAAGGTGAGTCAAGGCATGGGTATGTACGAATTCATGTTTACATACAGTGTATCGTCGTCAGATGCTAGTGACTGCCTCTCGTCGACGGATGGGAGCGTGGGGAGGGCAAGGGGAGGAGGGTGTGTAAAGGAAAGAATTCGAACATGGCAATGTATTCTTAGTGCGTTGGTCGTAGCGGTTGGCGATATTTTCTGTCAGGATGTATGTACGTTCCTGGCATTTCCATACATACACATACATGCCATCAGGGGGCACTTAAGTCGTTATCATGCGGGAGGGGATGCGAGTCAGAGATTATATGGATGTACGTGTAGACAAGTACTTGGATGGACATGTGGCAGTATTTTTCCTTCAATGACTTACACTCACGCAATATTTGAACTGAAGGACGACTCTTATCGAAGTCTCATGAACCACGGAATATATATAGGGCCAAAACACTACAGCCTTGCCCGTCTAAGGCATCATCATGTGGGTCTGACGACGTCAGCCAGTGATGGATGCTCGCCACATAACTCTCACTCTAGCAAACAAATATCACCGACACCCATGAAGGGCTTGGAGTGCTCCTGCAACACGCAAAGGAGAGAGATGGACCTCTTGTGCAAGCTACCACCTCGCTATTGCAGGCGGAGGTTAGTGCAGCCGGACGCTCGTCGCTGCCTCGTCCCTGTGACTTCGCATGGAAGGGAGTGGGAAGAGAGGGCTGACAGGAAGGGAAGAACACACGGGTACCTGAGTGCCAAGGACACACAGTAAACAACTGCACCACACCAACAGTCAGAGAAAGAGAGAGGGGGATGCAGGAATGTCCAAACAGCCCCTCTGTGTCGTGCTGAGCCCTGTCGGGAAGCGGTCAGCGAAGGGACAGAGGCGAAGATGCCTGAACCAACAGAGAGAATACAGCCCAAGGGGGATGAATAACACTATCCCCATGTCTGGCGTACTGGTGCGGCCTCATCTGGACTCCGTACCTCAGTACCGTGGCGCCCATTCGGAGGTCTCGAGGTGACCGATAACTCGAGAGATGTACCTCAGCCAGACCCTTGATACCTGTGGGGGAACAATAGACCACACATTGCCAAGATGGACGAGCGGACTTTCGGTATACCTGAAATTGATGGACGACATGCTCTGACGTGAGGCCTTGTCAAGGACAACGAGAGGGCCAGGAGAGGAGCTTGATATGGACGGAAACCCCTTGCGGCTATGGCTGGGTCAGCCGTTTGATAGACGAGGACAAGGTAACCTGAGCAGCCGGGACAGGGAAGAATGGGCACCTGCATCTTCCCCGGAGCTCTCTACCTACCTGGACAGTTGGCATTGGGTGCAGGGGCACCACCGAGGCGACACCGTCGGATAGCGGTGCGCCGAGGACGTTTTTCATCGCTTTTTGAGGATGCCGATCTGTAGACTAATGGATCTGGCACATTTCTGCCGAGTGGGAAAGCCAGAGGATGGCTGAAGGGGAAGTGTGAAGCGGTGTGTCCTAGGGGCAACTTGGCGTAAAACCCACGATAAGACCTGCTGCACGCGGTGTGAATGCACCACTGTAAAGTGAAGTAAGATCGGGCGGAAAAAATATGGGCACCCCTCTACCTATCTCCCCTTCCAAAACATTGCGGTGCGGTGCGACACAGATTGAAGCTATTAACAGAAGCTCGAAAGACACCCTCAGCAAACCGTGCCCTTTCTTGCCCATTCCATCGACTTGCCCACCACGACCTGTAGTTGTGTGCCGGCGTGTGGAAAGACACATTTTTCATCCCTGATGTCATCAGTGAGAATGAATGCTAGCGAGAACCGTTCTGACCGACCTGAGAATGCACTATCTCCCTCGTTTTTGACGATCCATCCTCAATCTGGTCAATTCAATGCGTTGGATATGAATGCCGTAAGTAAGCGATAGAGACGCTTCCCATGACGAACGACAGTCTCATTCATGTTGTAGGTCCATCGGTAAGGATGCTTGCGGAGCAGCTCATCTAGCACGAGGACGCAAAAGGAGAACCTGCCGATGTTGTAGCGTCTAGCTGTCGCAAAGGGGGTCATAATCTGTCTGAGCTCCGAATACATTATTAATCCAGGTAAGAGAGTGAAGACATCAGTTATGCCTTAGTGTCACTTACCCACACGCAACCACATGCAATGCATCTGTGTGGGAAGGTCGACCCATTCGGCGACCACGACTTTCTAGGCCACAGGAGCGGCCAGCGAAGTGTGAGACACAACAGCATGCGCAACCTTTTCTGCTGCATCCTGGCTGAGTCGGATGTCGCTGCACACATGGAGGTCTACCTGCAGAATCTCGACGTCACCCCACCAGACAACGACCCCAACAGCCAGCGTATGGACATCTACTGTGCAATCGGAGGCCAGGGATCCCTTCTGGATGTCACCATCACCCACCCCTGCCCACCAGACGCCTCTCCCTTCTGCTCTCACAGAGACGTGAGCCGGCGCAGTGCTCAGCTTTTGGGTTGGAAGGTCTTTGCCGAAAAAGCCAAGACGACAAGTACGGCCCCACTCTCTAAGCCAGAGGCTTCCGTTCTGTCCCCTTTGCTGCAGAGACATTCAGCAGCTGGGCGCCCGCGATGCTTGCCTTCCTCAAGACGCTCGCCAAGAGGAGACCCGCCCTTCGACCATCCCAGCATCCGAAGACGTATCTTCCCGAAAGAGCGTCATCAATCATTGGAGCCAGCTTCTGTCCATGGAGCTGAGGAAGTACAATGCACTCCAAGTGGCCAACCGCTTTGAGAGAGCCGTAGCCGCGAGGGGACCTGCTAGGGCCAGTGCCTTTGCGGAGGACTTCATCAGCCGAGGCCCTTACAGGCTTCACACGAGGCCCCTCTTCCGTGCGTGAATATGTCTAGCACTCTATGCCGTTGAGCATGCAGTTGCATGGACCGTGCTTTTATGTATGCCGGCTTTGCATGGTTGCTTCCCTGTTACGCGCTGCCTGTGATTATGCATCTGCTGCGGCATGCCCTTCTATGAAACTCAAGACGATCACTCGTTGCCCCTCGTTTACCGAAAGATCTCATGGAAGTCGAGTGTCTGTCAGTTATTGCATGAAATGGCCTGGTAGTATGCAGGAATTCTTAGTGTCTCGCTATGAATTGCTCAGCGTTGCATCACTTTTGCGTGAAATGCAATATGTGGAAGCGAGGGAGCCATCAAGTTGACTTGAGTTGATGGCGACACTAGTGGATGTCTGATGCGCTGTAAAAAGACAAAAGCCTCGTATTGAAATATCATACTTATACGATGAGTCAAGTAATGAGTTCATCGACATAAACCACATCCATGTTCGTTCACTCACTATGCCCTCCGAGAGTAGTGTTCTGTAAAACCACTACTATCACTCAAAGTTCGGACCGATTTGCATGCTCCAGAGTTTATTCAGCTTGTACGTATCCGTCAGAAGCTCAGTCCCTAGCACTATCGTGCCCGCGTAGTCTCTTGGCACCATAAACGTGACCTCCGAATGAAAAGAATCGTCCTTACAGAAAGCTTCCCGAAACGCGTCAAAACGTTTGTCATCCGGTATCCATATATCGTTGTTTCGGTGGCCACTCGGTCGTTCGGTAGTATCAATGATCACATTGGCGACTGCTCCTGGAGGAGTGACGTTGATTAGACATAATGGTTCGATCTCTGGGCTCGTATATAGAAACGCACCATGTGGAGCTCTTGAATCCCTTCCCTTCTCGATCACCTCAAATGCATAAAATGTGTATGACATCGTCGGCTGACCCCATCACTCCTTATAATCCCGTCTCAAATACTCAAGACACTTCTGATAAATAACCCAGCTGCTCAAGTTGCCAGGCAGAAGAACGCCCTTAATGCCTCGGAATGAGTCAAATGCGCGTAGTGGTAAACGAGATATAAGGCCTCGGCCAGCCTTGGGGATGTTCGAGTCAATGACCTGAAGGTGTTGCTCCCTGAGGTCCTTGACAGCCCGTTCGTAATATGCTGGGCATTCTTCGAGGACCTTGGATGCCCCGACGTCGTCAGGTAGCTCAGTTGTAGTCTTCCATGCAGCGACATACTGGTGATCGTCTTGCCTTGCACCCCCGGCATTGTCGCATGCGACTGGCTGGGCGTCTTCATAAGCCTTCTTCGTGCGGTCAGTGATTTCGCTATTCTTGCTGTGCTGCGTAGTCCGATACTTGTTCTCCATGAATTCATCGGTACGTTACACGAACTCATGCGTCGGATCCAGCTGCTTCAGGGCGTTATACTTACGGCGACTTGATTCCTCCAAGGCATCTACAAATATCTTCCGCTTGAGGCTGCTGATCACTGTCCCCTTGGCACGGCCAAGAGTGTAGTCGTTGGGGTTCGTCGCTTGGGTAGTCTTTTTGATGACGCCCTCTCGTGGCGCACGAGGCTCTTTGACAGCTCGAAAGGTATGCTCATCCCTCCTCTTCTCTTCCTTCTTCTCGTGCATCATCTGACTCCATTCTTGCAATCGGAGTCGCTCTGTTTTCTCTTCTTCGCCCGCCGACTCATTAGAGGTCCGCCTCATGCACCTGGCGAGCTGTTCGTGAGGTATGGAGACGAACGCTATTGGTTGACACAACCAGGGCGTGGCGTCGTCGCTTCTTCGCCATCCGATGCCAGGTAGAGGCTCTGTGCGGTTGTTGCAGCCGCAGGAACCAAGATTCGAAGACTGGTAGGAGAAAAGCGTAAGAACCTCGCCATAATGTCTCTTCAGGCGTCTAAGAGCTAGGAGAGCCACATGAGCACAGTCGATGGGACCCCACGCGAACGCGTGTCGACGAATTGTTGCGAGGAGGGAGGGGCCTCCGAGTAATGGGAGGCGATCGGCCAGGCGGACAGCATACGGAAATGGCGGGCAACAAATATACACACTTTGTGGAGAGTGATTTTTGGTCATCTTGAGGTTGAGTACGTATCTCAGAAGGGCCGGACAAGAGGGAGACGCCAGAGGCTGGCGTAGAAGCCACCTGTGGTGCACAGAAACTCGGTTTGCTGCAAGCTTATCGTTCTGTTTGCTGAGTGTATGCGGGGATTGTTGCCGAATAGGAAGGCTACAATTACGAAGACTTTGACGAGAGGAGCGATGTAAATCCCCCCCCCTTTGAAGGGGGGGGGGGGGGCGGTTAAAGGGCAGACGTGTAGGTATTCGAGGCAGAGAGATGATGTATAGGAAGATGAGTGCATTTGGGTAGGATGACAGGCATTGGCGGCGGTGGAGAGGGAGCTTCGGAAGAAAGGGAGACTGCGCGCTATGCGGGGGCGTATCATACGGGCGTCTTCTCTGAGGACTGAATGAGGCCTTTATCTGTGGTTCGGTGACCATTGTCGTCTCGTGTGCACGACTTGTGGCTTGACGAACTGATGGATATGCTCAGTCGCCCGTCAAAATACGCCAGAAGATAAAGAGAATAGCTCAGCTTCTCATTCATTTCGCATCGTGAAGGCACGTTCGACCTGCGTCTGCATCTGCGTAGGCTACAGATTTACAGAGCAATTACGTATGAGTATCTTTGCACTGATTGATTTGTCGTATTGCGTTCGCAGGATATCGACATCTCTGCGCTAAGCCTGTTGACGAGCAAGTGCATTCTCTGCAGCAGCTCAGGAATGAGGCCATCACAGCCGCGGAGAATATGTACGAGATGAAAGGGGAGATGGCCAAAGCGCATGGGAGCTTCAATATCTTCGTCAGGGACTGTTCCATACACAGTGAGAGAAAACATAGACTGTTTTGTCTGATTGTCTGATTGTTTATTGTGTGTGTCTGTTTGTCTGTGAGTCCTAAAGGAAGTGCGGTATCTCTGAACGTTGGGGGGGGGGGAGGCGGTGTGGGCTGTCAAGGCGAAGCTGCAGCACAAAGAGGGCATCCCCGCCAACAAAACAGACTCTGCCCACCAATCGACAAAAATGGACAACAACCGCACACTGGCTGCCTACAATGTTCGGAAAGAGGCAACTCTGCATCTGTACTTTCCGTGAGGACAGAACAATGCAAACAATCGATATCATATCCGATCGTGCATCCTGGCTGTTGGTGCATGTCTTGCAGTGTCCGTGCGGGTACTTTTCATGCCCAGTGGCCGTCATGATTTCGAAGCAAGCACCGATGTGTCGGTCAACCAGCTGTCGATGCTAACAAGTATGGATGAAAATGGTGCCACGCTGGTCGAAGCCTAGGATGGTAAGGAAAAGGTGCTCAAGCTGATCGGTGAGGTGACAGAGGCCTTTGAAAACATGACAATGCTCATCAATATCCTACTCACCAAGACGGCGGGGGACATGAAAGGAAAACCAACAAGATATCCTAGGACACGCTATTAACCCCTCCCGGTCGGTCGGTTTTTACCTGTCCTCTCCCCTCTCTCCGAAAACCTGTCGGTTTCGGTGCTCTCATTAGGTAGGACCTAAGAGGATTTACTTGGGAAACACACAGAAAAGAGAGAGACACCGACCGAACACAGGGTTTTCTTATGTGTATCTCCTATTTTAAGTCAAGAGACGCCATTTATGGTTACTGCGTGGCGGAAATAGGGACATTTCTTCTAATCTAGCCAGCAGGTAGCCTGAAACAGTCAAAAAAACACATCATTCAACCAATCGGTGTCGGTTTTTGGTGCGGTTATAGGGGAGGATGACCGCAATAAGCCGTGTCGGTTCGGTGGAGGCTTTCCTTAGGATGGTCGGTCAGAAGAAAAGAATCGGCCCAAATCGGTCGGTTCGTTGGGTAGGACATTTCATTCTATGTCCCCCGCCGTTCACCAAGCTCCGCCAAACCTGACCATACAAAATACAAGCAGACAAGACAGCAACACAACCCTCTCACTGCATACACAAGCCTGCATCATGTGTATGTACGTGTGTG